GTAGAGGAGAGAGAGCGAAGAAGGGAGGAAGAAGTGAGGTGGAGGATGGGAATGAAGGAAGAGGAGAGAGAGAGGAAGGAAGGAAACGAGAGAGACAAGAAAGGAGGAAGAGGAGAAGCAGCGGAAGGAAGAGAAAGTTATGGAAAAGAGAAAGAAAGGGAGGATTTGAAAGAAGAAAAGAGAAAGAGTAAAAGGGAGAAGTATAGAGAAAGAAAACAAGGAAGAGGAAAAGGAAGAACAGAGGGAAGAAGTGAGGGAAAAGTGAAGAGATGAGGAAAGGTGGGAAAAGAGAGAGAAGGTGGGAAGGAGAAAAGAAGAGGAAAAAGTCTATCATTAGCGTCTTTATACTTTAACTAAATCAATAAAATGTAGTAATAATAATAGTAAAAAAAAAAAAAAAACATTTATAATAGGAACAATATGAATGATTATGCTTAGAATAATTACAACATATAACAAAAGAAAAATAACAATAAAAAAAATATTTAAGTACCCATAATGTAAACGATAATGATAACAGTAATGATAATAAGAATGATAATAATACTGATAATAAAAATGATGATAATAATGACGATGATAGTGATAAAAAATAATGATGATGTGAATAATAAAAACAAAAACAATGATAAAAACAGTAGCAGCAAAAATTAACATAATGATGATAATAACAATGATAAAAAATAAAATAATAGTAAAAATGATAGTGATAGTTACATTAATAATGATAATACTAATAAACAAATAAAACAATTATCATCATAAAATAAAACAATAATAATGATAAACAAATGATAACAAAAATAAAAATACCACAACGTACTACTAACAATAGTAACAATAACGAGAATTGCTTCGTGCGTATGCATACGCACACGCATATACACACAGACATATATATCTATATCGATCTATATATACTTATTTGTGTATAACCATGTACACACAAGTCCACACAAATCATTTGGCAAATTTGTCGAACATAACATATATCGAGAATAAACATCGGCTCTGGGAAGCTGACTAATTGGCAACTCCCGCCAAAAAAAAAAAAAAAAAACGCGTTATGAATATGACACAAAAATGGCGTTTATAAACACAGAACACAAAAGCTCAGAGCAATATTTAGCATAAACACCATCTGATGTGAAGAGAACAGCCACAAGGTGCCTTTGATAGGTTAAATACTGGCATACAAACCACTTCTTTTTCTCACTAAAAGCGCGGGAACATGGCGAAAGGTGCCAATTAGTCACTTTTTCCCCGAGATCTTTATTCTCAAGATATTGCATGGTTCCACAAATCGCTAAATGGAATAGAGATTACGTATCTATTTATCCATTTCGAAATGAATATTTATGATAATAATGATGATAATAATAATACTCATAATAATAATAATAAGAGTATTATTGTAAGGGAAGGAAAGGTTTTTAAATTAATTTTTAACTTTATTTCCTCTGCCATTTTTCATGAGGTATTGAGAATGGGAAATACATATGTGTGGGTGTGTCTATGTGTGCGCGTTTGCGTGTGCGTGTGTGTGTGTGTGTGTGTGTGCGTGTGTGTGTGTATGCGTGTTTGTGTGTCTACGTATGTGTCTGTGTATGTGTCTCCGTATGTGTGTGTGTGTGTGTCAGCGTGTGTGTGTGTGTGTGTGCGTGTTTGTGTGTGTGAGTGTGTTTATGTGTCTACGTATGTGTGTGTATGTGTCTCCGTATGTGTATGTGTGTGTGTCTGCGTGTATGTGTGTGTGAATGTGTGTTTGTATGTTTTTTGTGTTTGTGTATATCTGCGTGCGCATGTGTGAGAGTGTGCGTGTGTGTGTATGTGTGTGTGTGTGTGTGTGTGTGTGTGTGTGTGTGTTTGTGTGTGTTTGTGTGTGGTGTGTGTGTTGTGTGTATTGTTGTGTGTGTGTGAGCGAGAAGATAAGTGTATGTGTGGTGTGTATGTGTGCACGCAAGTTGTGTGTGGTGCGCACGCACATATGTGTGTGTGTTTGTCTGCGGCGTGCTGTGTGTGTGCGTGTGTGTGTATGTAAGGTGTGTGTTGTGTGTGTGTGTGTGTGTGTGCGTGTGTGTGTGGTGTTGTGTTGTGTTTCGTGTGTGTGTTTGTGTGTGTATGTGTCTGTGCATATATAATGATTTTTTTTATTAACATATAGATATATGCACAAAAATCTACGCATATATATATATGTGTGTGTGTGTGTGATAAGATAAGAAGTGAAAAGAGAAACAGGGAAGAGAGGAAGAGAGGTAAGGGAAGAGGGAAGAGAACAAGAGAGGGAAGGAAGAGGAAGAGAACGGTAAGAGAAGAAATAAAGAGAAGAAGTGGAAGCGGAATNATCTCCCATGCCTGTCTCCTAGCAGACCGGTCCTCCGGACCAGCCTGGCCTGGCAGCAGCACCAGACCCGATCATCGGACCAAATTAAGACTCGTGGCGGTTGGTCAGGGGTAGGTCTCCTCTTGTTCGCCTTCATGCACACACACCACACACACACCACCACACACATATATTATAATTGTATAATATATATAAAATATATATAATATATATATATATATATATATATATATATATATATATATATATATATATATATTCCCATTATTCCACTGTTGTATTTCATCTCCCTCTTTTATATGGCTCATTATATGTACGCTTAAGTTGACAGCACATTTTCCCTAGCGAACTCACCTGCATGTTCCTCATCCTTTCCTTCTCGTCCGCAGCACATTCCTTCGCCTGAAAAGGAACTCTGTTTAGTTGACTGGAATTAAGGCATTGGATGTATAAATAATAAATGAAAAAGAACAAAGAAAAAAGAAAAAAAAAGAGATTAATTTGCGAAACATAACATTGACAATAATTTGATAATAATATTTATGATTATAATAACAATGATAATGATGGTAATCAAAATAATATTTATAATCATAATAATGATAATGATGATAATTATAATGAAAAATAACATAAATAATTTGTAATAATAATATTTATGAAAATAAAATAATCATGACCAAGGCGCCCAGCCTGATAACAGAACATTAGGCCAGTAAGCATGGTAAAAAAAAAAAAAAGAAAAAAAAAAGAAAAAAGGGTAAACATGGCGCCCCCCCCAAAAAAAAAATAAATAAAGAAAATAAAAAAAAACGGTAAAAAGGGGGAAATGACGGTAAACATGGCAGAAAAAAAAAAAATCCATATCACTCCATCCGGTTGCCGGCTGTCCTTACCAAGGAGAAGACTCTCTCAGCGGGGGATTTCCCCAACCGGTCCCCCAACAGGTCCTGCGGAGTCTTCCCTCTCTCATTCTTCCTGCTGGTGGACGCCCCGAGGCCAACCAGGGCGCCCACCGCCAGAAGATGCCCCCATGAAGCTGCTCCGTGGAGAGGCGTGTCGCCCTCACGGTCGACGGGGTCCACGTCGGCCCCGCCCGCCGCGAGAGCTTCCACTGCCCCCCGATGTCCTTCACAAGCTGCGAGGTGCATGGGCGTGGCCTCTGGAATGTGTCCGAGTTGAAGAGGCGATCACTGCCTTCGCTAATTAAGCTCCGCCCACCGGAAAAGTCATTTAATGTGATCGTGATATTGATGTTAACGATAATAATAGTGTAAAATGATGATGTAAAAAATAACTGGAAAACAACAAAAGCAAGAATAACAATGATAAAAGAATCAATGATGATAATGATAATGACAATAATAGAAAAATATAAGAATGATAAAATCACTAATAATGATAATATGATCATTATTAATAATAATGATAAATATAATAATAATAGCAATTATTATCACAGTATTAAATGATTAAAATAATTATCATTTACAATAATAAAAACTATGATTTTCAGGTTAATATTGATGTTTACGCAATTAATAATTAAAGCAACAACACAAATAATGAAAGCAACAACAATAATAATGAGAATAATAATAACAATGATAATAATTACAATATAAGTAAAAATGATAGTGATTCATACATTAATAATGATAATATTAATAGACAAATAAAAACAATAATCGTGATAATAATAAATAATTGTGATGATAACCAAATGATAATAATAATAATAAAAAAATACAACTTACTACTACTAACGAGAACAGCTTCATACATATGCATACGCACATACATATACAGACATATATATTTATATCAATCTATCTATATTTATTTACTCCTGTATAAGAATGTAGACACCAGTCCATGCAAACACCATTTGGCAAATTTGTCGAACATGGTATATATCGAGAATAAATATCG